CTCTCTGACTGTGTCCTGGAGATCAAGGGAGATGTGCCCTCAACCATTCACTCAGTCCGCCAATTTTAAGGTGCAAAGAATGCGGGGAGATGGAGCAAGTGCTGAAGGAATGGTGCCTGGGTCTTGCTGATTGTCTGTGGAGACTGGATCCCTTTCCAGGACTTTTTGTTGTTGTTGTTGTTTGTTTGTTTGTCTTTTTTGAGATGGAATCTCGCTCTTGTTGCCCAGGCTGGAGGGCAATGGCGCAATCTCAGCTCACCACAACCTCTGCCTCCCGGGTTCAAGCGATTCTCCTGCCTTAGCCTCCAGAGTATCTGGGATTACAGGCACGTGCTACCACACTGGCTAATTTTTTTTTTTTCTTTTTCTTTTTTGAGACGGAGTCTCACTCTGTTGCCCAGGCTGGAGTGCAGTGGCGCAATTTCGGCTCACTGCAAGCTCTGCCTCCTGGGTTCATGCCATTCTCCTGCCTCAGCCTCCCGAGTAGCTGGGACTACAGGTGCCCGCCACCACGCACGGCTAATTTTTTGTATTTTTAGTAGAGATGGGGTTTCACCGTGTTAGTCAGGGTGGTCTTGATCTCCTGACCTCGTGATCTGCCTGCCTCTGCCTCCCAGAGTGCTGGGATTCCAGGTGTGAGCCACTGCACCCGGCCAATTTTTTTTATATTTTGTACAGACGGGGTTTCTCCATATTGGTCAGGCTGGTCTCGAACTACTGACCTCAGGTGATCTGCCTGCCTCAGCCTCCCAAAGCGCTGGGCTTACAGGCGTGAGTCACCGTGCCCAGCCCCTTTCTGGGACTTTCATGCTTTCCCTTCCCTTGGAAACGGAAGCACGCTGGATGGAACAGAGAGAGGTGGCTCAGTCATTAATTGCACAGGTTAGGCCAGGCTCTGGAGCTGAGGTTGGGATAAAGAGGTGATGACACAACCTTTCTGCTCACTTGTAAGAAAAATACACAATACTCTCCACTTTCTCTCCCCTGAGAGACTTCCATCAACAATGACCAGCTGGGGCTGAGTCACCTATTTGCCTGCCCTTTGTCTCTTTCAACAATGAGCCCTGTGTCTATCACTGTGGATGTGAGCCCTTTGAATAGATGTTCTTTATAGTCCATGAGTTTTGGAAGCTCACTCTACCTTGGGACACTGAAACATGTCTGCATCTCTCTTTGTCTTTTTATGTCTTCCCAAGTAATGGCCACTCTGCTTGAGTTCATGCTTTTTCTTATTTTTTAATTTTTTTTTTTGAAATTGAATCTCACTCTGTCACCCAGGCTGGAGTGCAGTGGCACAATCTCAGCTCACTGCAACCTCCATCTCCCTGATTCAAGTGATTCTCCTGCCTCAGCCTCCCAGGTAGCTGGGAATACAGGCATGTGCCACCACACCTGGCTAATTTTTGTATTTTTGGTAGAGACGGGGTTTTGCCATGTTGGCCAGGCTAGTCTCTAACTCCTGACCTCAGGTGATCCACCCGCCTTGGCCTCCCACAGTGCTGAGATTACAGGTGTGAGCCACCGTGCCCAGCCAAGTTCATACTCTTAAGCTTAGGAAGAGAAGCACAGCTTATCTGGAACCTTAATTCATGGTTAGTGCCTTTCCATCAGCCTATACCCAGCAGTCCAGGACTATACCTTTTTTATCTCTGGACCCTTTCCTCACCTCTCCCTTCTCTCTTCCTACCCTATAGGAACTAGGATGCTGATGATAGTTGGTTTGACAGGTTTAGAAATAGTGCCTGCTCTGCTCTTTTGACCTCAAGGTGCTGCCAAGACTGATTTTTATCCCAAGTTCTGATTTCTCCAACAAGAGCTTATGAGCTAACCAGGGCTGTCAGTTAGGACTTTGACCTCTCCTGGGGCACCAGAAGGATGCTTCCCTGATGGGAGCATCAGTGTCTTCCCCCTTCTCCTGCCCTCTCTCCTCCCCCTGGGGAGTGTTCTCATCTATATCCTTTCTGAGCCATGGTGGCATCTGGGAGACATTCAGTTATCTTATGAGATGGGAGGAAATGGAACAGTCTATTCTATTTGTTCTTTTTAACACTGCCCTAACTTTATTTTTATCTGGTTAATATGTCTGTCAGCAGTAAGAGGTTTTTAATCTCCTAATAAGTGTATACCCATCCAAAAGAAGCTGGAATAAGGTGGAGAAAAGGGGTTGATAAATTCCTGCAGCATCTTTATATTCCAACTAGCTGTTTCTGAAAGGTGACTCTTTCTCTTACTCACATGCTGTTTAGTGATTGACGACCTATAGCATATTTATTAGTCAGTTCACGCTTTCAGCTCAGTTGTGTGTGTGTGCATGGCTGTGATTAATCACCACATGGACTTGTGACTCCCACTTTCTTGACCTTCATTTTTTTTCTTTATTTTGTTTAGATTTAAAAAAATAGGTCTCGCTATGTTGCCAAGGCTGAACGCAAACTCCTAAGTTCAAGCAATCCTCCCTCCTCAGCCTCCCAAAGAGCTGGGGTTATAGGTGTGAGCCACCGTGCCTCTCCTGCCCATCTTGAACCATCTATGGCCGTTATTTCTTTTCTTCTTTGCTATTTTAGTTTTGGTTGAGGGAGTCAAGGCAAAGGGCCATAGTGCTTCCATCCAATAGATGCAGACTGACCTCTGATCACTCCTTAACACTCCTCGGCCAAAAACCTTTCCCATGTCTCTGGTGCCTGAGACATATGTGTCTAGGAAGGAATCAGCCGCACTGTTACTCATCCATCAGCATCTGAACCTCGCATGCTGACTCCGACTCCGTGGTGCTAAGGGTCCTTACCACCTTGACTAAAATCTTGAGTCTTTCTGTGCAGAAGTAGCCCTTCACCCCAAAGCTAAGGAGAAAGGATTGGATGAAAGTTCTCTGTAGAAGTGGAGGAAACATGTGTCTCCTCAGAGGCACCTTTAGAGGTGGTTCCCTGCAACCCTCCAGCTAGAGTGAGCAGGCTCCTTGCCTGGGGGGAGGGGTGGGGGCTTCGAAGCTCTCCTCCCACCACCCCTGGTGAATCCTCCGCATCTTCCTCCCTTGATACTGGCAGCTGGTGGGGGCTGGGGGAATGGAGGAGTGCTGCTGTTAGAGCAAGAAGACCAAATGGCTTTGTCTCTTCTCGGTAATATAAGTGCAGTGAGGTGAGAAGACCCTGGGGTTTGGCATTTCTCCTTGAGGAGCTGAGCCAGAGGCAGGGCTTTGGTTCCTAAGTGATTAGGGGCCTGTGTGGCCAGAGGCCGCACATTCCCTTTTGGAAGGGAGCTCTCCCATACTCCTTGCTTCCATCTTCCCCTTCCTGGCTCAAGTCATAGGCTCTATTTTCTGGCTATCCTCTTTTTGTTCCTGAGAAAGTTGTGGTGGCTCTTTTTTTTTTTTAAGCTGATTTAGGGGGTTGGGAAAGGAAAACTTTAAAAGTAAAATAATAAAAAACAGACCACTCTGCCATTACAGGCACATAAATAGCTTTGCCGTCGCTGGGCTGCACACTCGCTTTGCCATAGCAACCTAAAGCGACTGTTTATAACAGCCTGTCAACTGGCCTGGAAACCAGCAGCTGCTGCTGGCCGGCCTGGCCTCGGAGCAGCAGGCAGGTACTCCCTGAGAGGTGTTATGGAGGCGGTGGGTCTGGCGCTTCTTGTGGAACCGTGGGCAGGGGAAAGGCAGCCTGGGTTCCAGAGGCAACCGGGGCAGTAATGTTTTGGGAACCAAAGTGAGCAGCGGGTGTCTTTTGTCTTCGTTTTCCCCTCACCTGTGTATGGGCCCCAGCATAGCTCATCTCCTGTGGAGACAGAAGACAGGGCTGGGAGGGCATTTGCTCCACTGGAACCTGTAAGGGGCCTGGGTGTCTCTCTGAACCTCACGAGGTGGCTTGTTTTAACTTTTCAAATAGACTTTGGCTTCTGTTGTAGCCTGTTGAGTGACATCCTTTCAAGTCTGTTTTCTCAAAGACTGAAAAAAGTGGGCTTTTTCGGGGCTCTATCTGGGAAAGGGGGCTGTCTGGAGATGAATGGAAGCAGAGATTAGCAACCCGGAAGGACTAGCGGAGGGAGAGGGAAGAGCGAAGGAGATACATGGCAAGACCTTCCGGTGCCTTCCCATGTCAGCCTGGAGCTGAAGGGGTTCATGGAAATGCTTTGGAACCTCGCAGCATTTTCAAAGTGTGGTCCCCAGACCAGAAGCAACCGCTCACCCTGTTAAGGAACTTGTTAGGAATGCACCTTCCCAGGTCTCATCTCCGTTCTTCTGCACCAGAAACTCAGGAGTTGGCAGGGAGGGGGCCAACAGGTTTGCCCCAGTTCTCCAGGAGATCCTTGTGCTCACTCTGGGTTTGAGAACCACGGCTCGAAAGCATTACTCAAGTGCAAGAAAGCATGATCAGTCCACTTTCCAAAGCCCGAGGCTGACTGAATGAATCCTGTCTGTGCAATGTGTGAACAAGGAAGAGTAAAACAGGCGCAGAGGGGTGGCAGGTTATTAGGGATCGTTCCTGGCCCCCTTTTTTAATAAGCACTGTCTTTTCAGCATGGAGCCCTCGTTCATTTGCCTGTGACTTCCAGGAAACCGGCCCAGAGAAGGCTGGAATAGGTAAAGTGGGGATGGGAGGTTCTCTGTACTCTGTACAGGTGAGACTGTCAGAGGAGAGAAAGGGAATGGGAGCAGCCAGGCCTGATGACCAGTATGGGACATGCTGACTAGTGTCTGGGCCACAGGAATGTTGTTTTGCGTCCTCTCCTGCTGAATGCCTGGGGGCAGAGCAGCTGCCCCTGGTGCTCCCTTTTGGTGGTTGAGATGTGGCCTCCTCAGTCTGTGGCCAGGCAGCTTCTTCCCCCTTGTCCTGAGGGCTCCACCAGAACCTGAAGCCTGGGAACAACCAGGTCCCGACCCAGTAGCCCAGGGAGATGACCCGTCTCCGTGAGCATAACATGATTCTGCTGAAATTCGTTTCTAAAAATAACCTAGGATCCGATCCAGCTGCTAAAAAGCCCCTTTGTTCCCTTGAAACCAGAATATGGAAAGCCACAGCAGCCCCAAGACAGACAGTCTATGTAGTCCAAGGGAGTGCATATACGAAATACTTGAATGCTGCTGCCGGAGGGCTGCATCCTGTCTGTGGCCTAGAAGCTTCCTGCCGCAGCTCTGAGGAGTGAGAAGCAGTTATCCTTGCTAACTCTTATCCTGAGTGAACGGGGTCAGGAGAGGCTGCCAGTACCCCTTTTGTTAAACAACAGACCTTCCAGATGGCGTTGTCACTTCCACCTGAAGGTGGCTCTTGTCCTCCTTAAACAACTGAAGGAAATGGTGAGTGCTGCTGTTTCATCCTCTACATTTTTTTGAGCTCTAGCTTGCTGTGAACACCCCTACCTCCACCCCATACACCCTCTGAGTCATTGGAGGACACAGAGGTGACCCAGGCCAGTGTGACTCACACAATTGGAAAGAGGTTGGCTTTTCCAAGGCTCTGGGCCTGAGGGACTGCCCTTCTTCGTCTTGATAAATTTTTTTTTGAGATGGAGTTTCACTCTGTTACCCAGACTGGAGTGCAGTGGTGCGATCTCAGCTCTCTGCAACCCCTGCCTCCCAGGTTCAAGCGATTCTCCTGCCTCAGTCTTCTGTGCAGCTGGGATCACAGGCATGTAACACCACACCTGGCTAATTTTTTTTTCTTTTTTTTTTTTTTTGAGATGGGGTCTCACTCTGTCCAGGCTGGAGTGCAATGGTGCGGTCTTGGCTCACTGCAGTCTCCACCTCCCGGGTTCAAGCAACTCTGTTGCCTCAGCCTCCTGAGTAGCTGGGACTACAGGCATGTGCCACCACACCTGGCTAATCTTTTGTATTTTTAGTAGAGATGGGGTTTCACCATGTTAGCCAGGATGGAATTTTTGTATTTTTAGTAGAGATGGGGTTTCGCCATGTTGGCCATGCTGGTCTCAAACTCCTGACCTCAGGTGATCTGCCCACCTCGGCCTCCCAAAGTGCTGGGATTACAGGCATGAGCCACTGGCCTCTTCTTGATAATATTGATGCCATTTCAAGATGGAGCCAGTGGACAGGGGTCAGGGGGACAGCAGTACCCTCCCAGGCACATTCCTGCTTCCTCCCACCACACTGTTTCCCTGCCCATGCCCTGGAGCCTTCTGTCTTCATCTTGGTGGTTCTTAGAGCCTGTGACATGGGTTGGATCTTAGCAGACCAGGTGATCAGGATCAGGCTGTCAACCTTGGGTCCATTCTTGGTATCGCTGTTTGGAGAAAGCTTTTGCTATCTGTGGATCCTAACTTCTCCCTGCCTTCTGAAGGCATCTGGCCAGAACTGGTAAGTTTTGCCACCATTGTCACTACACAGCATATCCTAGACAACACAGCCACTCCAAGACTGAGAAGTGTTTTTATTTTTTGGATCTCAGATCGCCATAGATAATGCTCCAGTGAACATCCTTGCACATGCCCCCTCCAGGCCCTGGACGAGAATTTCTTTGGAAGATGTAGCCAGGACTAGATGACTGGGTCCACAGCATGCACAGATGTAGTTTGACCAAAAAGTACCAGGTGGTTCTGGGGAGGAGGGATGAATTCTGGATTCCTGAGACCCAGGGGCTAGGAGTGACACTTTTTCTCCAGATAGATGCTTTGACTTTAGCACTACGTTTTTGCGGTGGAATTGAAGAAGGTGCTGTCAGAGTAGCAGACTTGGAGAGGGGAAAGTAAGTGAGGGAAGTCCATGGATACCACCTCCTAACCAGGAAGTGGTATTCTATCTTCAGAAGGAGAGAACTGAACCTGCGAATGACATCCTCTCAAATCTGTTTTCTCAAAGACTAAAAGGATGTGGGCTTTCCTTGGGTCTCTGGGAAAGGGGGCTGTCCTGAGATGACTGGAAGCAGAGATCAGCAACCTGGAAGGACTAGAGGAGGGAGAGGGAAGAGCAAAGGAGACATGAACCAGAACCCAGAACTTCAGGATGGGAGTACCCCACCCCCCAGGAGGCTAAGTTCTAGGGGCTAGCTGAAAATTAGCATCAGATTCCCTGACCAGGCCATGGTATACTATCCCATGGTGAGGCCAGAGGCCTGGCTTGGTGTACCCGCCCTCACCTGGCTTCCTGGGTTGGATGTGGCTGTTGGATGATGATGACAAGTAGTGCCACCCACCACCTGAACTTTAGCCAACACATGCTGCCTCTGACCTTGTTCCCATGCCTCCAAAGGGCTTCAGTAGGCTGAAGGAGGGCATGTGCTCTGGTCTGCTTCTGCAAACCAGTTGGCATTTAAGGAGCAATTAGGGCAGGGCAGACTTGGGGAGGGAAGGAAGAACCCAGGATTGTGATGAGGATGGCTGTCAGACCTGAGGGATGGGAAGTGGCCAGGGTGAACTAGAATCTGGGTCATGGAAATAAGGAGCCTGTGATGAGGAGGCGGGCAGAACAGCCTCTGCCCGAGACTCACACCTCTGGAGAGAAGGGCTAGCCAGGGATGTTTTAGGCTAGGCAGCCTACCATGGTCAGGTTCTTGCCAGCTTTCTTGATAGGGCACAGTCCTTTTGGAAGTGTCAGAGTGCCAGAGAGGAGTAGAGCTTAAACCCTCCCAGGTGGTACACAGGAAACAGCCCTGCTGGAAAAAAGACAGAGAACGCAGAGCAGGATCTCCCTCTGTGCTTCTCCCAGATGACCATGGAGAGCAAGGCCAAGGGCATGAGATGACTGAGTGGAGGAAGCCCTCATCCCCACTGCTGGGCTCTCCAGGCAGGAATTGGATATGCTTGGACTCACAGCAATCTAGAGCCCAGTGCTCTCTGGCTTGGGGTGGGGGTGGGGTGAGGGGAGGGGAAGAAAAAGGGGAGCAGAGGGTATCTGCTCCCAAAAAGCTTTGGGTCTATCTCTATGCCTTCCCATAAAGTTCACAAGAGGTAGATATTTCCCTGACCTATTTCAGAGCCTTTTAGGAGTCAGGAACAAGGGACAGATGGGTTTATGTGAGCCTTCTTTTCAAGGTTTAGGAAGTAAGTTCATAGCTTTGTTTCCATTTTTTTATATCATTGTTCTCGTACTTGAGGCAAGGTGGCTTTGGATTCACATTAGGGCACAAATCCTGGCTCTCTGAATCTATATTTCCCTGCTATAAGATGAGAGGTCCTAGGCCGGGCGCGGTGGCTCAAGCCTGTAATCCCAGCACTTTGGGAGGCCGAGACGGGCGGATCACGAGGTCAGGAGATCGAGACCATCCTGGCTAACACGGTGAAACCCCGTCTCTACTAAAAATACAAAAAACTAGCCGGGCGAGGTGGCGGGCGCCTGTAGTCCCAGCCTCCGGGAGGCTGAGGCCGGAGAATGGCGTGAACCCAGGAGGCGGAGCTTGCAGTGAGCTGAGATCCGGCCACGGCACTCCAACCTGGGCGGCAGAGCGAGACTCCCGCCTAAAAAAAAAAAAAAAAAGATGAGAGGTCCTTCTTATAGGGTTGTTGGTGAGAATTCACAGTATATGTAAGACTGATAATAGCTACAGTGTGTGGACCAGCCACTATACCAGGCACTACCTAATACATAGGGGTATATATATAATTTCTCATTTTCATATCAAGTCCCTAGGATGGCCCCTAGCACATGGAAGGTGCTCAACAAATCTTTTTTCCCTCCCTTCCAACCTCTCCAATCCCACATCCCTGTTCCTGAGTATAGGGAGAAGTGGAGCCTCACTTGGAATGAGGGACACTGATTCTAAGTCAGAAAAAAAGACTACAGATTTTCTGAGGGGCTCCTAAAGCGTGTGTGTGTGTGTGTGTTTTCTGAAGCAGAGTCTTGCTGTCACCCAGGCTGGAATGCAGTGGCACAATCTCGGCTGACTGTAACCTCCGCCTCCCAGGTTCAAGCGATTATCCTGTCTCAGCCTCCCAAGTAGTTGGGATTATAGGCATTCACCACCACACCCAGCTGATTTTTTCTATTTTTAGTAGAGACAGCGTTTCTCCTTGTTGGCCAGGCTAGTCTCAAACTCCTGATCTCAGTTGCTCCAACTGCCTCGGCCTGCCAAAGTGCTGAGATTATAGGCATGAGCCACCGCGCCCGGCCCTGAAGCAGGTTTTATATTGTAGTTGGGTGCATTCTAAAGTGGGACCAGGCTGCTTCCCCTCTCCAGAGGTCTGCCCTTCCTCACTCCTCAAGTCATGCCTGGCAGGGATGCTGGCACCCCTGCCAGAGTGTCTCCAAGTGCTACCAGCTTGCTCCTGAACAGAGGCTCTCAGCCCACTGGGGAGGACAGAGTAGGGCAGGGCAGGGAAGTGTCTGCTCCTCTGAACAGACCCAGCCTGTAGCCCAGAGGCCAGAGTGGACCAGAGCCTCTTGTTATTCCAGGCAGGTCTATCTGCAGTGCTGCAGCAGCCTGAAGCCCTAGCCCCTGGCCCCTCCTGTTTCTTTTCTCCCATTTTTATGCATCATATCACATTCGATAGGAGCATTTAGTAGCGGGGAGACTCAGGGTGAGTTCCTTTCATATTTTCAAATATACCCACTCTATAACCTATACGAGGTGTCATTCTTTTTCCTCATAGTTTGGGGATGTATTTCTTCTTTAGCACCCTGGGAAAGCTAAGAGTGAAAGATTCCTTGGACAAAATTGGAGGAAAGTGTGTCTGATTAGTGTTTACAGTTTGGTGACTTAGAACATAAGGTTCAGCTCCTCATTTCTAGAGGCTTTTTTTTTTTTTTTTTTTTTGGAAGTCAGGGTCCCACTCGGTTTGCCCAGGCTGAAATTAAGTGATATGAATACACCTCACTGCACACTGCAGCTTCCACCTCCTGGGCTCAAATGACCCTCCCACCTCAGCCTCCCAACTTGCTAAGACCACAGGCGTGCACCATGATGCCCAGCTACTTTTTGTATTTTTTGTAGAGACAGGGTTTCACCATGTTATCTAGGCTGGTCTCGAACTCCTGAGTTCAAGTGATTCTCCCGCCTCAGCCTTCCAAAGTGCTGGGATTACAGGCAGGAGCCACTGCACCTGGCAGATGCCTGCCTTTTAGAGGGCCTCTCAGAAGTTTGCCAGAAAATGAGGAGGTTTAGGCTCAAGAGAAAGGAGTAAAGTGTAACAAAAAGAGCACCAGGCAGTCAAGACCACTGACTTGTTAAGACCAAACCACTTTTTTATCTCCCTGGACCTTTGTATCTTCATTTGTAAGGTGAGGGTCACAGCTGTCCTAGCTAGAATTGATATGACCAATGCTTTCACGTGTCATCTACAAATTATAGAACAGATGTTCTAGGACTTTAGGAGGAAAAAAGTAAAATGTTGTCTTAATGATCATGTAAAGCATTGTAATTTCTTGCCCTAGGAGGAAGAGATGAGAGAGTTCGCTCTTCTATCCTATCATCTCTTAGGCTTGCAAAATACTAGAAAAGAGGAGGGAGCACATACCTTACTCAGAACGCCCCAAGCCGAATGACTAACCCTTACCTGACAAGAGGTAGTACCTTCCAGGTGTCTGAGCAGCGCATTTGATGCTGAGATGGTGTGAGCACCTTCAGATTATTCTTTGGCAGATTAGGGGCCAGGCAAGCTCAGCAGCTGCAGAGAGCTCATACTCCAGAGAGCTCAAAACTCAGAAGTGCGGACATCATGATATTCTTCCTAATATTATAGAGATCCCACCTTAAACCTCGGGCTCCAACTCTGCACTGCCCTTTGGACTTTGTGCCAGCAGCTTAGTGCTTGACCTACTGTGTGTTTCTCTAGATCAGCCTGAGGCAAACAAACCTTTTCATTCTTTTCCACATGTGTTCTTCAGCCCCATGTGTTCTAATCTTACATAACCTTTTCCATCAGTTGCCTATGGAAGTGGAAGAATCTCTCCTCTTTGGTACTCTGAAAAGAGGTTCAAAGTAAGGAAGGAATTCTGCCAGGTGTGGTAGCTCATGTCTGTAATTCTAGCACTTTGGGAGGCTGAGGTAGGAAGATCACTTGAGGTCAGGAATTCCAGACCCGCCTGGCCAACAGAGTGAATCCCCATCTCTACTAAAAATACAAAAAATTGGCTGGGCGCAGTGGCTCACCCCTGTAATCCCAGCACTTTAGGAGGCTGAGGCAGGTGGATCACAAGGTCAAGAGATCGAGACCATCCTGGCCAACATGGTGAAACGCCATCTCTACTAAAATACAAAAATTAGCTGGGCATGGTGGCATGCAACTGTAGTCCCAGCTACTTGGGAGGCTGAGGCAGGAGAATCACTTGAACCCAGGAGGTGGAGGTTGCAATGAGCTGAGATCACGCCACTGCACTCCATCCTGGCAACAGAGCGAGACTCCATCTCAAAAACAAACAAAAAAGCACAAAAAATGAGCTGGGCATGGTGGTGGGTGCCTGTAATCCCAGTTACTCAGGAAGCTGAGGCAGGAGAATCACTTGAACCTGGGAGGTGGAAGTTGCAGTGAGCCAAGATCGTGCCACTGCATTCCAGCCTGGGTGACAGAGTGAGACTCTTTCTCAGAAAAAATAAGGAAGGAATTCTGACTCAGACTGTCTTTTCTAATTCTCAGGAGACTCAAGAACCTATATGCTGGTGGTTACTGCTAATGGTTATAACCTAGCTAATGGTTTTTGTTAATGAAGCTGCCCTAGAATATTCCATTCTTTTTGTGCAGTGGGGGGTTCCCTAGCAAGGAAAGATGGAAGGGCACATGGAGCTTATTTTTCTTCTACTTAAAGGGCTTGATAACAAAAGTTCATTAAGATCAAATTAGGCTTTCTCCCATCACTTAAGTGTCCTATTCTGCACACTGGACAGCTTTCATCTAAGATTTCCAAGGACTATTTCTATAATTCCATTCCTTTATCACTTTCTTAGGGTGGTGCGAAAAGACAGGGCCCATTCTCTACCCAACTAAAGGTGGAAGGAACCGAGTCCTGAAAAGGCTAAGTAACATCCCTATCTTCCTGGAGCAAACATTGTAGTGGGTGAAGACAGAAAAGGTAAAATCCTCTGATTTCCTAGTTCAACACTATCAGCATTGTTCCCAACATCCTCTTGAAAGGTGAAGGAGTTCTACTTGAGGGTCAAGATGGGTTTCTTGCTGCTAGAGCTCTTCCCATTTCTTCCAGGCTTGGAGAAGCTGAACTGGGGTGAAAACTCTGTGGTCCTGCCTGTTCCTACACCAGTCTGAATGAAGGGAGTTTGACACATTGCCTCAGGTTCTTTGTGGATCTTCTTATTTCCCTGATAAGAAGGCGTTATGATATTTTAAAACAAATAGAACCCTGCTTTCTTAACTCTTTGTGAGTCAAGAGTAGTGCTAAAAATCTATGGGAGGAAGAGGAGGCAAGGGGCAAATTGGGAGAGGGAGGAGTATAAATCAACCTGCATCCCTGTGGAAGCTTCTGGGAAGAAGATTGTCAGGAATTGGCAAAGACTTTGGCTACATGTGACTTTGGAGGAGATCACTGATAAAAGAATCAAGTCCCTTATCTGATAGTTCTTGTGCTTCTTTGTTCACCTTCTAGAAGTAAGGGTGGCATCTATTTATTACAGAGAGGTTGGCCAGAGCTCCTTGCCACCCCCTGGTAACTGAAGTCATCAGTGGGGACTATGTAATTGGGGCTGGGGTCCCATGTTCTGGTGCTGTGCTAAGAGCCCCTTCACATTTGAAAGGCTGATGTGTGGCAGTGACACCTGTCAGTGTTATGACACACAGCGGCCCCACTTTAAAACTGAGAAGGGGCCTCAGGATAAGTTCTCTTCCCACCTTCAGCCCTCTGTATCCTCACCTACACATAGCTCCACCACACCCCCTAGTTAGCATGCATGAGAGGTAATGCATCTTTCTAAGGGGAGAAATGCTGGCCTCTCTCTGGTGCCTTTATTGAGATGAGTGAGACTCTGGTGCTTACTCACAGGCTCGCTTGTCTTCCCTGCTGACCTTGCTGTGGCCCTGTCCTCTATCTGAATTGAGAGGTGTCTTATCGCTCCCACTCCAGAGAAACTTTAATGCTCAGGCTTCAAACTCCCTATCTTTCCTCCTCAGAGGTCCTTCTGTCCCCCTTACTAAAAAAAAAAAAAAAAAAGTTCACCCTGTATCACCAACTGACAAAGCATTTTACTCTCCTCTTCTCCCCAAAAGCCTATTGGAGTAGGGTGGAGCTTAGCCTCGAGACCAAAACTTGGTGCCTGCCAGGTTGACACCTGCAACAGGCTACAGAATTTCCATACACCTGGAAGCTGAGTACTCTAAGGGGCTTTGGAGGATTTTGACATCTTCTATCAGGTTGTCTTCCTTGTGTGTAAATGTGTGTGTTGGGAGTGGGAAGAGTGTGGGGTGTGGGAAAGGTAGGCCGACTGACAGGCAACCATTCAGATCACTTAGATCTGAACTCCTTTTTCTGACCTCTTCTCATCTTTTATAGATAATGTCAGACTAAAGTATCCTGTCACAGGTCCCTCAAATAGGGAAAACACTAGAGCCATTAGAGGTTGTAACCATTTACTTCCAAGTTTCTGAAGCTGTGGGTTTTATGTTGCTTGGTTGGGAGAGGTGAGATGTAAAGACTAGGGTATATTGAAATTACTCCTCTACATTGGGGTTTGCAGTCTGCGGGGGCCTCCCAGGGAGGAACGGGCCTCTCCTGAGTCAGCTCCCTAAGCTCAGGCCTCAGCTATCAGTTTAGCTCAGACCTCAACTGTCACTTAAACCCTTGTGCTTAGACTGGGTACCTCTTGCCCTTGCAGATGCTGGGTACTCATGGCTGCTCTAATGGTTTCTTTTTGTCTATCTTTGAACCTTTATTGCAGAGATCCAGTTGTCATCAGTATCCAGGAAGCTCTCCTCTTCCTCCTCCTGATGCCTCTCTACCACTACAGTTGCTGGTTGTTGCTAAGGTTGCTGCCATGGTAACATGCACATCCTGTTTACACTTTCATCTGGGCAAGTTGGTCTAAGCTAGGAACCTACCTATCCTGGACAACCACTATCATCACCACCTGGGGACACCAATCAACGTGACACGGAGTCCACCTTCCACTCAGTTCCCCCATCCTCTTCCTCCTCTCGCTGCCAGATTTCATACAGAAGAAAGGATCTAGACTTCGGACAGCTACTCGGGAGCTTATTGCACAAGATACATTCGATCTGTTCCCTCACTGGGCCACCAGAGAAGCAAGAAGTAGGAAGAAGTTGAGACAGGAAGGCAGGAGACACTGGTCAGTTGAAGGGAAACACTACATCTTCTCTGGTTGAGGGGCTTGGTAACAACAGGCAAAATGACGAACCCATCAGACCGTGTCTTGCCTGCCAACTCAATGGCCGAGAGCCGTGAAGGGGACTTTGGCTGCACAGTAATGGAACTGAGGAAGCTCATGGAGCTGCGTTCGAGGGATGCTCTGACCCAGATTAACGTCCACTATGGAGGTGTACAGAATCTCTGCAGTAGACTGAAAACCTCCCCTGTGGAAGGTAAAGGCCATATCAGGGGTGGGGAGTTGGAGGAAGGTGGCTAGTGTTTCAAAATATTCTTTTCCCAGCTTCTAGAGAAGGCACATTTCTGGAGGCCCCACTGGTATATTTTTGTCAGGTGGGAAAGGTATGGCTTCTGAAGCACTGAAAGGAGGTGAGGCCATGAAGAGCCGTATCTTTCACAGAGATGATGTTTAGAAACTGCTATTCTCTGAAGATTATTCTTTTCTCCTTTTTCTTTTCTTTCTTTCTCTTTCTTCTTCTTTTGTTTCTTTCTTTTTCTTTTCTTTCTTTCTTTTTCTTTTCTTTTCTTTCTTTCTTGTGTGTGTGTGTGTGTGTGTGTGTGTGTGTGTGTATGTGTGAAACAGGGTCTTGCTCTTTTACCCAGGCTGGAGTGCAGTGGCATGATCATGGCTCACTGCAGCCTCAACCTCCTGGGCTGAAGCCATCCTGCTACCTCAGCCTCCTGGGTAGCTGGGACCACAGGCGTGTGCCACCACACCCAGCTAGCTTTTTTGATTTTTTTGTAGAAATGAGGTCTCAGTATCTTGCCTAGACTCATCTCAAACTCTGGGCTCAAATGATCCTCCCACCTTGGCCTCCCAAAGTGTTGGGATTATAGGCGCAGTGAGCCATTGCTCCTGACGCCTCTTTTCTCCTTTTTCTGTATCAGTGTCCATTTGTTTTTAAAATGTTTATGATATGAATGTTGTTGTCAGTAAATAATCAAGTCCCTTCTTCTATATGTCTGATTATAAAATACTTTAATTCTTCCCTACACTGATCTTACAGTTTAACGAATGGAGGAAGGAAGGGTATAGAAAAGTGAATAAGTCCAGCTGCCCAGTTGAGCACTTCTCTATTATATACCATTAGAAATGGGATGCTAGGCCAAGCAGGGTGGGTGGCTCACATCTGTAATCCCAGCATTTTGGCAGGCTGAGGTGGGAGGATCACTGGAGCCCAGGAGTTCCAGACCAGCCTGGGCAACACAATGACACCCCATCTCTTTTTTTTTGTTTTTTTTTTGGAGACAAGAGTCTTGCTGTGTCACCCAGGCTGGAGTGCAGTGGCATGATCTCAGCTAACTGCAACCTCCGCCTCCCAGATTCAAGCAATTCTCATGCCTCAGCCTCCCAGGCAGCTGGGACTACAGGTGTGCACCACCACGCCCAGCTAATTTTTTGTATTTTGGTAGAGATGGGATTTCACCATATTGGTCAGGCTGGTCTCGAACTCCTGACCTCAGGTGATCTGCCTGCCTTGGCCTCCCAAAGTGTTGGGATGAGGAGGCTTACAGGCATAAGCTACTACGCCCAGCCTCTATTTATTTTAAATAAAAAGGAAAAAGAAGGAAATGGGATGCTAAATCACAAGGTATATAATTGTACCCATCATATCTTTGGATCACTCACTGTTTTGTGTCAGAGAATTATAAGTGATTTTTTCAACTCTGCTGGATACACTTTTAATGTAGTTCTTCTTAATCTTTTTGTTGTTGTTGTTTGTTTGTTTTTTTGGTTTTTTGGGGGTTTTTTTTTTGAGATGGAGTCTCACTCTTGTTGCCCAGGCAGGCTGGAGTGCAATGGTTCATTCCTGGCTCACTGCAACCTCCACCTCCTGGATTCAAGCAATTATTCTGCCTCAGCCTCCCTAGTAGCTGAGATTATAGGCATGTGCCACCACACCTGGCTAATTTTGTCTTTTTAGTAGAGATGGAGTTTCACCATCTTGGGCAGGCTGGTCTCAAACTCCTGACCTCAGGTGATCTGTCCGCCTCGGCCTCCCAAAGTGCTGGGATTACAGGTATAAGCCACTGCACCCAGTCTTAATCTCTTCTTAAAAAATAAAACAATGTTCAAAGATAATGAAAAATCCAGCTTCCGGCTTTCCTGGCCCAGCCCAGTTGCCCAGCATGCCATGGTGTGATGAAATTTTGCCTCATCAAAATGTAGAAAGAACAAAAGGAAACTTGCTTTTTCACTTTTGCCTGGTTTTAGCATCTCCGTAGCAGATACTTATTTGGCCCTGTATGCCTGGCAGTTCATGGTTGAGTAGTGTGAGATGGAGCAAAGATCTTTTCCATTAGGGGCTTTCAGCCTCATGCGGTCTCCTATTTCTGAATCTTCCTCAGAGACCACAGCATATTTCTCACCAATTCTAAGAAACTATTATCCTTTGCCAGTGCTGTATTATAAGTTAGTGACTTGGAGCCTAGACTCTTTAGGATGAAAAAAGAGAAAGAGATTTTTACATAGCTATCTATACCTAGTTTATGTCTTATTTTCTTTACAACCTAAGGAAGGTTCCCTACCTATTTTCTTTACTTCTAGAATTTGGTTTCCTATCTCACAGGCTTCGAGTTCAAACACTAGTTCCACCATTTACTAGCTAAGTAGCCCTCCATAGTTTACTCAGCCTCCCTGAGTCTGTTTCTTCTTTGAAAATAAGAGTTGATAACACCTAGCCCATAGAGTTACTGAGATTAAATAATATATGTGCAGTGCTCATACTTATAATTAGGTGTTCAATAGATAAGTTTTCTCAGATTAAAACAGAGTCCATGTGTCTGTAGATACTTGCCAGAATATGGGTGCCTATGGAGTGCAATGTTTTGTCGTATCTGGAGAGGTTACTGTATGTGTAACTGCAACCACCGTCCATTTCATTTGCTCACTTCTTAATCACAAAAAAAAATCCCCACGGGTAAGGTGGCAATATCTAATTGCTTTCATGTGGCTCAGTCTCTGCCTTCTAACGGTAGCCCTTAATCATAGCCCTTTGGGCTCTGTCTCCTTCTTGCCAGCTAGATTTCTTTATTTGGTCACTTTTACAGCCATATTGACTGCTGAGGGTCTGTTCTTAATTATATCTTCACTGAGATCATGCAGTACTTTACAAACACCCATCAGAATTTAAACAGGATCTTTCTTTTTCCCTTCCTATGCTGTTTTTGATCCCTTTGATCAGCTGTCTCTCTCACAAACAGGCACTCGGGAGTCCAAAGAAGCTGGAACCTAGAGAGCTCCTGACAACAGGATTCCGGCTTTCCTCCAATTTTCCAGATCCCTTCCCAGAGCTGCCACTGTTTACTTTCTGATTCCCAGAGAGTGTCCATTCCCAAAGGCCAACATACATTCTACTTTCTGTCAACATTGAATATCAAATGTTACAGACATAGCTAATGCTCTTGGATCCTTTCCCAGTCCTGGTTTCAGCCCCTTCCAATGGCAAGTGTTTCCCTCATTACAGCCCCTGGCCATGCTGTAGCCTAGGACTCCTACCACTGGCACAGTTGTCTACTGCCATGTACTGCTTCCTTAGATCACAAATATGCATCCTGGTGTTTTTCTTTTTTGTTTGTTTGTTTGTTTGTTTGAGAAGGAGTTTTGCTCTCGTTGCCCAAGCTGGAGTGCAATGGCGCAATCTTGGCTCACTCACTGCAACCTCCGCCTCCCAGGTTCAAGCGATTCTCCTGCTTCAGACTCCCAAGTAGCTGGGATTACAAGTGCACACCACCACTTCCGACTAGTTTTTTGTATTTTTAGTAGAGATGGGGTTTCACCATGTTGGCCAGGCTGGTCTTGAACTCCTGACCTCAGGTGATCCACTCACCTCAGCCTCCCAAAGTGCTGGGATTATAGGCATGAGCCACCGCATCTGACCTTTTTTTTTTTCTTTATAAGAGATGAGGGTCTTGCTATGTTGCCCAGGCTGGTCTCGAACTCCTAGACTGAAGCAGTTCTTCTGCCTCATCAGTTTGTATTAATGTAGGAGTTACCATAGGGCTTGCTCTGGAACTGGGGAGACAGAGTATTGGAAAGCAACCTTTCCATTAGTAATTTTTAGTCCCCAATACCAACAGTGACCTCCTAGTGTATGAGAGGAATAAAGAGATTTAAAAAAAAAGTAAGAAAAAAAAAGAAAGAAAAGGAGATACAGAACAGCTAAGACATAAGAGTATCTACCCAGGCAAGGGTAATGCTCACCTGTTTAGTTAGGGTAGGCAGAGAAAAGATCCCCAATACGCTGATGCTATAAAAAGCCAGCCTGTTCATGGAAGGCCACACAGCCTGACAGCCTAACGTAATTTTGTCATTGTGGGAGGTCCCAGTGGACCAATAAGAAGAATAAAGAAATTTACCTGGTGCTTGAATTCTGCTAGTTGGGAACCAAGGTGAAAGTGAAGGTCAGAGAGATTGATTCCTAGAATATAACCCTTTTCCTTTATTTTCTATGGACTGATAGCATCTTTAGTATAGACTGACAGAATTTTTTTTTAAACTATAGCTTTTAAGGGGACTTATGGAACTTGGGGTTTATTACATTTCTGACACTAACGTGGTTTTATTATCATAGATTTACACAATTCTAAAGGCAGGTGGGACTTAATTATCTCTTTCGGCTGGCCGCAGTAGCTCATGCCTGTAGTCCCAGCATTATCTGTGCTTCTAAGATTCTCTGTGTGACTGCTCTAGCATAAGAAGCAGCAGAGCATTAATGGAGTGTAAGTCAGAAGGCATGAAATATTCCATCCCATTCTACCTGGTAGTAAGACCTTAGACAGGTCATTTAAACCCTTTAGCCTGGAGAGAGGGAGAGAGAAAGAGATTATTATTATGATGATTTTGGGACGGATTCTCACTCTGTCACCCAGGCTGGAGTGCAGTGGCACAATCTCAGCTCACTGCAACCTCCGCCTCCTGGGCTCAACTGATCCTCCCGCCTCAGCCTCCCAAGTAGCTGGGACCACAGATGCGCACCACCATGCCCGGTTAATTTTTGTATTTTTTGGTAGAGATGGGGTTTTGCCACCTCTGTGTCAGCCTCCCAAAGTGCTGGGATTACAGGCATGAGCCGCCACCAACCCAATGTTTTTTTTGTTGTTGTTTTCAATTTTATTTTTATTTTTTGAAACAGGGTCTTGCTCTGTCACTGAGGCTGGAGTGCAGTGGTGAAATCAGGCTCACTGCAACCTCCACCTAATAGGCCAAAGCAGT